TGAGTGGTGTTCCAGCCAGTAGGGTGAGCGACAGATGGCCAGGTTTGTCGCAGGACTTCTGCTTCTTCAGTTTCGGTCGTTGCGATTGCTGTGCCTGACGTGTCTTCTTCTAGAGCCTTCTTCCACTGCTTGCGTTCTTGTGCTTCCAGGATTTGTGGTTGAGGCGACGGGCACGGCGAGAGCGCGGAAGGTACCGTCGAGGTCAGGCCGCTGGTAGTCGGTCTCCTCAGGATGACTCCATCGTGGCGGCGACGGGTGTCCAGGTGGGTCAAGGACGAGGATGTGCTCGTTGTCTCCAGTGGTTTTCGGTGACTCAAAGTCAAGCACGAACACTCCTTCCACACTGGTTGCCTTCCCGATGAAGATCCCGTTATAAATCAAGTGCATCTCGTCTTCTGTTGTTTCCAGGCCGACTCCGCACTTCATCAACTGGTGGAGCGACAGAAGGTTGTACCGAAGCTCGGGTACAACAAGTACGTCGCTGATGTGGATGCAGTACCCGGTGTCGTTGGACTCCAGCTGGATTTGCCCGCGGCTATTGGCGTAGATGGTCTGACTGTTGGCAACAGTGATCTCTACTTCGTTGAAGAGCCGTTCACTGTTGAGGATGAAGACGTCCGACGACACCATATGCTGTCCGCAACTGCTATCCAGGTACCAGGTGTTGATTTCTTTTCTTGCCTTGGCGAGGTTGGCGAGCCTTGGAGTGATGTGATGCTCCATGTCGTGCTCGTGTTCGTATTCGTATGTAAAATCCTCGTCTTCGTATGCCTCGCGTGCAGGTGGTGACTCCTGGATCCAAGGCGGCATTTCCCAGTCATACTCCATGCGGCCAACTGTCAGCTCGTCGTATGTTGGGTCGTTTTCCTCCTCGTCTTCGACTGACCCTTCAGGACGCTCTAGCGGCAGGTCTGCGAACATGTCTTCCCAGCTCCGAAAGAAGCGGTAGTGTCGGTTCGGGCGAGGTGGGCCTCGTCGAACCATGCAGGTTAACACCTTGCTCTTGCCTTTCTCGGTTGTGTTCGCAGAGACGCGCGCCGGAGCTTGGGATGTGCTTGCGACGGCAGGTGGCGATACGGTCGGGTTGCGCACTGGAGTCCTTCCTTGCTGGTGAGAAGCGGCTCTCTTCTGGTTGTTGTTGTTGCCGTTCAGCTTCCAGCAGTCTTGGATTGTGTGTCCAGTCTTCTTGCAGTACTTGCAGAAGAGTCTTTTCTTGTCTGGTGGCGCTTGTGCGTAGAAAGCGATCTTCTCCTTCTTGTTGCCTCTCTCGTTGTACAGGTCCATTTCCTTCTGCTCGGAGAGGAGAGTTGAGCAGAGGGCGGTTTCGCTGACGGTCCCTTGAGTGCAAAGGAGCGACTTGCACTGGCGCCATTCCGGGCTCAATCCAGCGAGAATGATTGTGACGAACATGTCGTCAGGGAAGTTTCCGCCGCTTTTCCTGAATTGGTCTCTCAGGTTTCTGCAGCGGTTGATGTAGGATCCGGCCTTTTCGCCGGGAAACATCTTGACATTGTTCAGCTGGTTGAGCAGGCGACTGAGCGTCACCGAATCTGTTGCCATGTGGCAGGTGCGCAGGTGTTCCCAGGACTGTTGCGCGGGTGCCCACTCGTTCTTGAATGGACGGATGCTCAGCTGTTCTTCAGGCGACAGGTTCCGGATCAGGACGGTGAAGGCCAGGAGAGACTCGTTGTAGTATTGTGTCTTCTCCTGAGGTGAGCCATTGGTTGGGAAGGGGTATGAACCATCGTAATACATCCAGATCTGGGCGCCTTGAGCTAGTAGTTCGAATTCGAAGCTCCATGTGTAGAAGTCTTGTCCGTCGAACGGTTTTGTTGTCTTGAGCTTTGACGTGGACAGGAACTTGCTCTGCATTGACGCCATTGTCTCGAGATGCGCCTGTTGTGCTTGAGCAGGTCCTGGAGCTCCGCGATTGTCGAAGGTGAAGGATCGTTCAGATCCAGCTCCTTGTGGATCAGGAGGTCTTCGGGCGTAGCTGGAGCCGTCAATGCTCATTGGCTGATGGCTCTCCAGTGCGCTGATGCGGGAAATCAGCTGCTCGAGGAGTGCTGTATCCACGGTTGTTGTAGTGGAGGTAGCATTAGTGGACGGATGTACTGGATTCTCTCCAGTTTCTCCGCAGTCGGCGCCTGGCATGTTTGCTTGCCCTTGTAGTAAGTTATACCGTAATCCCCCGTATATAGGACCCCCCCCAGTTGTAGACCCACGGGTCTATAATACGGACCCGGGTACTCTATTCGAGTACATCTGAGTTATACCCCCCTAAATGGCTCCTAACATTATAAGACCCCCCCACATCCTAGAGAAGTGCGAATTTTACAAAAATGCAGCTGAAAATGGTCATATTCCATGTTGATTAAAAGAAATCGCACCCAGAAACGATGCCTTGCGCTGTCGTGTGAACACCAAGTGGTGTTGGTGGCCAATGGGAGGAGGCTCCCAGATAGGGTTCGTGATGACGTGGGTTCGGCCCGTGTGGAGACCAATTCGAGTATTTTTGGGAGGAGCTAAAAACGGAGCAATTCCAAATCACTTCTTTGAGCTCCAAAACTACATTCTTATAAATGTCAATATGAACAGACCCGGGTCTTCTAAAAAGTATACAATTTAATTATACCCCCCAGCCTTTTTAGGGGTGATTATCATAAGACCCTAGGGTCTTATATGTCAACAAGACTAGGCAAGAATGATTGAAAGGAGAGGGGTTTCACTAGCAGCAGTTGGGGTACATATAGCAAACCCTAACTGGGTTGTACTCGCTATAGAGCACCCCACTACAGGCTAGACAATAATAACATTCTGACACACCCCCATAGCCAAAGTGGGGTGTAATCAGTACAATGAGCAGGCATAGCAATAGTTCACAATTATAAGCAAAGCTAGAGGTGATCATAGAGGGCAAGTGAGGAGGAGGAGAGACTGTGAGGGCGAGAAGATGAAAGGCGCCGACTGAAGCTGCAGACACACGGGCAACAGGAGCGGCGCGCACAGTGGCTACCGAGCGCACGAGGGCACCGGACTACGGGAGTATCTGGCTCCGCGGCTACGACGAGCACACACAGGAGCAACGGACCCACAGGCGACTGGCGAAGCAGGCTCGCTGGGCTACCGAAACGCGCGAGGGCATCCGGACTACTGGCGCTGCTGGCGTCACGACGGCTACCTCCACGCAACCTCCCCCGACCGTCCCACGCCCCTCTCACACACCCCCTGCTGAAACCCTAGCTCCACTTCCACGGCACCCCCCTTAAACCCTAAACCCTCGGCTCCCACACACCCACCCCCCTCAGCGGTAGCTGCAGCAGTGGGAGACGGAGGAGGAGGAGGAGCCGCAGGTTACCCACACCGGTCACCCCCAAACCCTAACGCAGGCAGGAGCGCGGGAAACAGCAGGGGCGGGGCACGGAGGGAAAGGGAGGCAGCGGGGTGGCTCTTGGGCGCCACGAAGAAGCAGGGCGCGGGCCCCCCGAGGGCGCCACGGCGGGTGACGGGAGGGGGGCCGCGCACGGGCCCCCGAGGGCGGCTCGACGGGCGACGGGAGGGGCCGCGCGCGGGCCCCCTAGGCGCCGCGACGAGGCGACGGGAGGGGGCGGCGCGCGGGCCCCCAAGGTGCCGCGACGAGGCGACGGGAGGGGGGGGACGCGCGGGCCCCCAGGGCGCCGCGACGAGGCGACGGGAGGAGGACGACGGGGGGCAGCGCGCAGGTCCCCGGGGGCGCCACGACGGGCAGGAAACCGCCGCGCGCCTCGGGGCGCACGGCGGGCAGAAAACCGCCGTACGCCCTGAGCGCACGGCAGGAAGAAGACGGCGCGCGCCCGAGGCGTGCGAGAAGCAGAATAGCAGCGGAAGCAGTTAGGTGGCGGGCCCACCCACAGGATCGACCCAAGGGGGTCGACCTGCTCTGATAGCATGTCAACAAGACTAGGCAAGAATGATTGAAAGGAGAGGGGTTTCACTAGCAGCAGTTGGGGTACATATAGCAAACCCTAACTGGGTTGTACTCGCTATAGAGCACCCCACTACAGGCTAGACAATAATAACATTCTGACATTATATACGGGGGATTACGGTATGAAGAGTTACCTTCTGAGAAGAGGTCTTTTTAGCAGTTCCTATAATCCAAACTGGCTCTCATACCATGCTAGAGTGAGGATCTTTGGATAGGATAGGAAGTGCTCTGTGAGAATTGGTAGCGGAAGTCTTGGTAGGAACCCTTGATCATAGTGAATGTAAATGAAAAGGTTGATTGATTGATAGAATACAAGCAAGATAAATAGTCCTAACTAGCCATGTACTCTAAGGGGTACATTCCCTTATTATAACTGTTTTACAGGCAGTACAACAGTGACTCTGACTATTACATTTCCTTTCTTGTTACCGAGTCGCTGCTTGTAACCGTGCGTACAGTTGCACCTGTTGCCATTCCATGATAGTAGGTCAATCGTCGGTCCAGATGGTCAACAGTCGCGACAGTTGACTCTTGCGACTGTTGACTTTCCTGCCTTGATATAGGCTGATCCGACATCTGCTGTTCGCACTTGCTTCGATAGTGGCAGGTGCGATGTTTGTTGCACCTTCGGGAATGCTAATGATTCCCTTCATACTCCAACATGCCCTAAGGTCGATGTGAGGATGCGCGCTGGTGGCAACAAGGTGTTGCCCTCGCATAGCCTGAAGTGTACCGGTTTGGAAAACAAAAATATGTAATATACAAGTTGCTGCAATACAAGCAAGACACAAACCAAAGAATGAATACGGTGGTTGAAAGTCAAGATGGTGTACGGTAGCTCTGGGCATACGGTAGCTGCACGGAGCCACTGCTCTGCACGTACTTTGTGGCCGTGTTCTCCTAACATGGTACACCTGCCTTCTCTCCAGGCACAGCACAGCAGCACCACCGCAGGGCACAGGCGAGCGCAGGGAAGCTGTGGAAGAAGCATAGCGGGCAGCTCGGTAGCGTGTGCGAGGGACGACGACACGCGTCACTTGAGCTTGAGCGGCTGCACCACAATGACGGAGCGCACGGCGTGCCCCCACTGGTCGCGCCACGTGAGGCTGCCGTACGAGAAGGCCGTGCTGCCCGTGCGGTTGGCCACGATGGTGACATTGAAGGGCACCGTCTCGTTGGGCGCGATGGTAAAGCTCGCGGGCTTCACCGTGAGCGCCACCCCATCCGGCACCTCCACCACCGCCTTGTACGTGCTCGTCGCATTGCCCACGCTCGTCACCTCGCGTGACACCACCACCGTCCCCACAAGCCGCGTGACGGAGATGGAGGCACGGTTGAGGTTGTAGGGCTTCACTGCCTTCACCGCCAGGCCCTTGAACGCCGCCTTGGCCTTGGCGAGGTTCTGCCCGGCCAGGAAGTTCTTATAGTCCACCACATCGGCGTCGTACACCAGCCCCACGTCCAGCAGCCCCATGGGGTTCACATGCCCCGCGCCCATGTCCCACGGCGTCGCAAACTCACTCGCCGAGTCGCGGATGCCAAAGCCCTTGTTGTTGTTGACAGCAGCGGTGGTCATGATGGCGGACATCACCATTGCCGGCGTCCACATGGGGTAGCGCTGCACCAGCAGCGCTGCAATGCCTGCCACGTGCGGCGTGGCCATGGAGGTCCCGGAGAGTGCGGTGAAGTAGCTGTTGGGGTCGCCCAGGTACTGCCCTGGCCCCGCGCTCCACAGCTCCACGCCCGGCGCGATGATGTCGGGCTTCAGGATGTCGTTCGTGGGCTTGGGCGCCGCGGGGTTGGCCGTGGCTTGCATGAGCGGGCCGCGCGACGAGAAGGACGCGATGAGGGGCGCCTCGGGCGTGGAGCGGGTGGCCGTCGAACTGGGGGGGAGGGAGGGACGGGGAGGCAGGGAGAGCCGCGGGAAAGGGGGAAGTGCAGGGAAGCGTGAGTGTGCGGTGTGTGATGCACAGAGGTGGGTGGTGGAGTGTTGTGGATGCATACAGATTGGGCATGGGCGAGCATAGTAGCGAGCAGCAAGCAGCGAGAGCAGCAAGCAGCGAGGGCAGCACATACGTGACACCGGACATGAAGGCTCGCACCAACTCCATGCTCTCTTTCACCGTCGCCACTCCCCCACTAGCCTGGTTGCTGCTGCTGCTATTGCTGGTGTTGCTGCTGCTGTTGCTTCTGCTGCTATTACTGCTGCTGCTGCCGCTGCTGCTGCTGCTGCTGCTGTTGCTGGTATTGGCACTGGCAGCAGCAGGTGGAGTTTTTTCAGTGGCTGTGGTGCGCTGAGAGGAGGAGGAGCTCTCCTTGGCTGCTGCGGCTGCTGAATCCGTGGCAGCGGGTGAGGTGGTGGTGGAAGGGGAGGTGCGTGATGCCGCAGCCACGGATTTCGCTGACATGGGGTATCCTCTGCTGATGGAGCTGTGGCAGGGACCAGCACGTCACCACAGAGGCAGGGAAAAGGGACGAGGGAGACTCAACTGGGTGAGTGGATCCAAAAGTGGCACGGGACCAAACAGGGAGGATTGGTACATGGATGACATGAGCAAGGACACAACACATATGGTGAGGGAGTGTGTTTGAGCTTGTACGTTGGTGTATGCATGCATGCATGCACGGGAGAGTGTGGCACGCACCTGGCGCCGACGGTGATGTACCACGGGGCAAAGTTGTCCACTGTGCGGTACTTGGCCCCCGACTGCCACGGCGCCCCCGCGTTGCCCGCTGCAAACGCCACCACCACTCCCGCCTGCACAACACACAACCGCCGCGAGGACAGAAACGAATGGGTCAACAAGAGCGTGTGGTGTAAGCGAGGACGAGGGCGTGGTGGAAGCGAGGGAATGGGTGCCAGCAGCAGAGCAGAGCGAGAGATGAGCTGCTGCCTGGAGACAGCAGCACAGCAGCAGCCTACAGCAGCAGCATGCGGGAGGCAAGGGGAAAGCGGGAGGAGGCATCTATCTAGTGGTTGGGGTTGGCAGGCAGCAGAGGGCGTGGCGCTGACAGCAAGTGCGTTGAGGTAGGGCAGGTCGTTGAAGTAGGTGGCAGTGGGGTCCTCCGCGCCCAGCGACAGGGAGAGCACGTCCACGCCGTCCGCCACGGCCTGGTTGATGGCCGCTGCTATGTCCGCGTCCGTCGCCCACACGTACTGCCCGTCGTTCCAAAACACCTTGTACGCTGCTATGCGCGCTCGCGGCGCCATGCCGCTCGCCGTGCCCAGGTTGTTGCCCAGCACTAGCCCGCCGTTGCCCGCTGCCGCGCTGGGGGTGACGGAGAGGGTGAGGGGAGGGGAGGGGAGGGGAGGGGAGGGGAGGGGAGGGGAGGGGAGGGGAGGGGAGGGGAGGGGAGGGGAGGGGAGGGGAGGGGAGGGGAGGGGAGGGGAGGGGAGGGGAGGGGAGGGGAGGGGAGGGGAGGGGAGGGGAGGGGAGGGGAGGGGAGGGGAGGGGAGGGGAGGGGAGGGAGAACGCACAGTCAACCTCAGCTTTTCCTCGCCGTGTGCCATGCACTCACCCCGAACACCACGTGACATGGCCCCGCGCATACTTTCCCCCCATACCGCCCTCTTCCCCGGACCCTCCTCCCCTCCCCTGCACTCACCCCGCACACCACGTGCCGTGGCCGTCGTCGTCGCGCGGCGACACGTAGTTGGCGGAGGAGTCGAGGCGGTTGTGGTTCTCGCGCTTGAACCCCGCGTAGAACGCGCGCGCGCCCACGATCTTGCCGTTGCACGCCGTCGCGGGGAAGTCGCTCGTCACCATGCACGAGCCCGTCCACTGCGCGGGCGCCTTGCCGTACACGTGCGTCGACTGAGAGGGGGAGCATGCGCAGGAGAGGGTGCAGGGCGGGTATGTGAGAGGCAGCGGGCGAGGGGGAGCGGGCGGTGGAGCAGGAGAGTGCGGCGCGAGCTGCGGAGTAAACACAGTGAAACGCGCGGGTCTAGATTGGTGACTGCGCGCGCTCTGCGCCCAGGAAGAAAGACGACGAGGGGCGGGGAAAAGGAGGGTTGCGTTGCGCACGTCGTTAGCGAAGGACTTGTGTTCCGGCCAGATGCCGGTGTCTATGATGCCCACCACCACGCCCTCCCCCGCGTTGCTCTGCCCGCCCGCCGCCGCCCACAGCGACGGCGGCAGCTGCATGAACGCGGGCGAGGAGGTGGTGAGGCGGCGCACGACGCGGCTGCGCGTGACGCTGAGCACGTCCGGGTGGCGCACCAGCTGGTGCGCCTGCTGCGCCGTCAGCGACGCCGCGAAGCCGTTCGACACGTGCGTATAGCTGCGCCCGGCGGGGACCATGGGGGAGCGGGGTGAGGGAAGAGGGGAGAAGCGGGGACGGAAGTGGATGGTGAGGAGGGTACAGCGCGGCGCGGCGTGGGAGGGGGCGAGGGAAGTGTGCGGGCGAGGACAGTAGTGCGGGAGGCCTTGGGATGCGTGTGAACGGCGGGGGCAACGGAAGTTCCGGATATTTCCGTCTACCCGCTACCTGCTACTCCTATTGGCGGAAAACTCTCCCCCATGGGCATCTCTCAATCTTTCACGCCCACCCCGCCCCACGCCTCGAGTTATCAAGCTAGCGCGCTATGCATGGGCGCCCGCAGCTCCTGGCCCGTCACCCGCACGTCGTGCTGTCGCGCAGTCCTGCGCTCTGCGTGCGCGCGCGCGTGACGGCTGACCTGTAGAGAAGCGTGTTGGCGGCCAGGTTCACGTCCCGCACCACCTGCTCCTGCTGCCGCTTCAGAAAGTCCTTGAACGCGCGCACGGCGCTCCCGCGGAAGTTTATCCGCGGACGACGGCGGAAGAGACGCCCCGCGGCATTGAAAAAGCGCGCGGCGGCGGCGGTTGCGGGATACCCCGCGATGCCGCCCGTGTACTCAGAGACGGACGGCGCGGAGCGCAGCTGCACCAAGTAGAGCGCGGAGTCTGGGGGAATACGCGCGGGGGGAAAGGCGGAGGAAGAATCCAGGTGCATGGCAATGCATGGGAGGAGTGTGGGGAGGGAGAGTGGGGAGTAGGGGGGGAGTGTAGGAGGGTGGAGGGGAACAAAGCGACAGAAGGGGAAGCGATAAGAGGGACGAAATATAAACATGAAGGGTGTAAGTACGGTGAGGCCGTACCATCCTGGGCGACAGTCGTGAGGGGAAACAGCAGCGCGACGAGCGCTAAGGCGAGGAGCCTCATGGCGCTCCAAGCTGCTGTTCTGCGGGGGCGCAGCGGCGACGGCGACAGAGCAACCCGCCTTAGCCGCACGCGATTCATGGCGCTGTGGTGGCTGCGTACACGCGGTTTGACCCCTCTAGGGTGCTCCCTGCCAATTCTTCGAATTTGGACACAGCGAGTAACGCGGCCCTATTGATGTGACGGCATGCGCAAGCTAGGTCGCTGCGGAATGACGAGCGGCAGAGTGCGGATGCTGCGTGCAATGCAGCAAAGGTGAAGCGTTCTCGGATGCAAGGGCACGTGGGAAATTGCCTAACAGCGCGAATGTGGCAGTCGGCGCGAGAGATAACATGAGGAGCTTTCCGGGTAGGCCCACCTGATTTGCAGGCGAACGCATGGGGTGCTACCGATACGAGTATGCCGTAACACCAAGTCGAAATGGTTCAGGACTGTTGTTCCTAGTTCATGACCTTGCGCTAGCAGGTGGAATCTAGAATGGACCACTGGTGGTCACGAGGGGCAAGAATTCATCAAGCTGTCGCGACAGCAGTTGAAGTATGGGGTCTTGGGGGAATGTGATGGGGGGAGGTGCGATGAGCAGTGCCTCTAGCTCATGTTGAGGGGAAGATAGGACGGGAGAACCACGAGGGGTCATACGGTATTGAAGCTCCAATGAGTACGGTTCATTACGTGTAACACATGGTCGACTACGGAGTCAGTCTTCACCGCTTTAGACCATTCTGCACCAGCAATACTACACAAATCATAAGCGAACATGGAGCGCTCCCGGGAGAGCCTTCATGATCACCTCACCACAGATGGCAATGGTGCGGCGGCTCGAGAGGGGGGCTTGTCGTCTGTTTGAGGGATGCAATCCACGTCAGAAAACCGAGGTTGGTGGGGTGGGGGAGGTGGGGAGGGGGGCATGAAATCTGGGTGGGTCTGTCTGTGATGTTTTGGTGGAGGGATTGGGGTTGGCGGGGTGTATGAGAGGAGAGAGTTGTTTATACACATGATATCCAACAATTTCATGTGCCTTCTGTGAAAAAAGAAGTCCAAAAGCATACCATAACTTACTTGAGTCCACAGAAACAAAACTGCTTTAGACACTTGCTATACGTTTCAGATGCAAAAAAAAAATTGACATATTCCCAAATAAAGAAACTCCAACATCTGCCACTCAGTCAAAGAGAGAAGGTACAATGCGATCAAGAAAAAAAGTGAGTAGTTCTTGAAGGTCGACTCTGCAGTACTAACCAGAAAAACAAGTGTTGTGTACATTTTTCCGCGCAAAATGACAAAACTACGAGGTATAACCGCGTACACACCAGCAGCGCAATCCCTGCACAGTAGTGAAGGGAGCAAGGCTTGTTTTCATGTACAGGACACAGCGTACTACCTGGTCAGTAGAATACTGTACACAAGTGCTGGTGCATTCCAGCCACAGAATTGTCCGAAGCCGTTCATTACTGAAGAACGAAGAGATGCGAAGGGGAGCAAATGTGCACTTTGAACACGCTCTAGAGATCACACTGTAGCAAGCCGATCGCAGGTGAGACAGAGGGAAGGGTGGTGAGCAAGCAGGGGATGGTCAGGTGGAAATTGTTTTCCTGCATGTGGCTACTCAGCACAGTAGTACAAAATGTGGGGATACTTTTAGTGATCTTCTGGTCCAACCCGACGACGGTGAGCAAGGAAATTATGTCTAACCACAAAAGGGAAACTCCTGAAAGTACCTGGGAACGGTGAGTAGAGAAAACGCAAGTTGGACGGGTTACAACTAGCAGACGAATGCACCTGAAAACATGTAACTTTCCAACAATTGAGGGCAAGCAAGTCAAACAGCCTATCCACCTTACAAGAACCTACCTAGGTGTTTCTTATGAGTGCAATTGAGTGAACTAGCTAGAATTGCACTTCTAAGCAAAAGTGTACAATAAGCCTTCGCTCATGAGCAAATTGTTAAATAGCAAAACAAATAGTTAACAGTAACAAGTGCTCGCAGAGGGTGCCCCTACAGGCATAGCGCCGGGGTTGGGAAAAGTCGAGTTGTAGGGCCGGATTGTGGGTTACCAACCGGGTCGTATGGTTTGTGCGTGACGGTAATTGTGGCGGAAACAGTATCAAACGAATATCTCGAGGTTGTAACGGGACACTGTTTGGTTGAAGTAGCAGGAAACATGTTGTACGCGGTCAAGATTGTGACGCAAATTTTTTTATAATGAGGATTGCATCAACTTCTTTCTTTCTTTCTTTCTTTCTTTCTTTCTTTCTTTCTTTCTTTCTTTCTTTCTTTCTTTCTTTCTTTCTTTCTTACATTGTTATTGTAAACATTACATAAAAGATACGATATACATTTTTAAAGAGGCACTATGTATGAAACTATATTTATGAGTATGGATATGCTTAGCGGGTGCATATTAAGGGGTATAAAAAAAACCTCTCGACACTCTCTTAATACCCCGGCTCACCTTATTCTAACATGGTATAAGAGCGGGGCTGTTGGCGAAATGTGGCCAGGGGAGCCTAGGTCTCATCGTTCATGCAGGTCCCAACACACTTAGACTGTAGAAACGTCTACGTGGTGGTTCTAAAGATGTCCAACACCCACCAAGTTCCGAAACAACGAGGGCATGTGGAGACCAGTGAGATGCTAGAAAGGATGCCTGAGGGCATGAGTGGGTGGTAGAGCTGCATGAAACTACTGGTCCAGAAGTAGGATCAACAAGTGCAAGCGGAATCGGCGCAGGAAATGGTGTGGGGTTCGTGTGGTCGCGGAAGAAGCACTTATCGAGAGAAAACAAGATGCACAAAGAAGAATTGGAGGTACAAACATACAAATGAAACCCTCTCTAACAAATAGCCATAGTCTAGTAAAAAATAATATGCATAAAGCATACAAATATATAGTTTAAAACACGCCATTGGCTAGACAAGGGGCGGTCTCCGAGCAACAACAACAAGCAAATTCATTGCGGGAATCCCGCTCCAACCTCTAAGACAAAGAAGGCCACAAGGCCAGTCCAAGTGTTCGCACAGATATATGTATGAAATAGCAAACAATAGTGATCAAGACACAAGTGAGGACCAGAACCAACTAGCCCGAGCAGAGTATAGAACCTTTGATGGTCACTCTAACAATGCGTGACTGACCGCGCTGCTGCAACTCACGCAAGAAAAAATTACCGCAGCTCTACGTGCTTCGTATGCCCCACCAGTCGAAGCTCCTCACGCAACAGGATCACCTACCTGTTGTAGGCAAAGAGCATGAGCACTATGGCGGTACGAGGCGACTCATCCAGGTTCATAAGAAAATATGGGAGGCAGCGTAACTCATGTGCAGCCATGGACGTGGCGTAGAGCTCAGCCTTACAGCTAGAGAGAGCGTAGTCGACGCACAAGTCGACCTCCAAGACAGCACTAGAGCCGAGACCTAAGCAGCAGCCCTGTGAATACCTACGACGCTCAATTCATCTACCCAAAGAGGCTGACTGGTCATCTCCCTCCAAACACAAGCCCCATGCCTGACGTGCTCACTAGATAGTGTACAACCCTCTTACCAGCCTCCAAGTAGACATGATGGTGTCTCCAAGGTGCAACAAAATGAGCAAGAATGTCGAGAGGGTATGCAAGATCTGGACGAGTACAAGTCATCAGGTACATGAGACTGGATGTGAAGAGGAGTAGCAAAAGCCGAACTGGCCGATGACCTGCTGCACCATGTGTGACTGACACTGTGTAGTGGTGTGCGCTGTTCTGTCCCAAGTAATCTGCAAGCCAACGTAGTGACGGAGCTCACCCAAGTTAGTGTAGGTGTGTCTCCTTTTCAGCTCAACCTTTACTGAGACTAGTGCACTTCTATCACCTGTGGCAAAGATGAGGTTGTCGATGTACACCAAGATGAAGAAGGGAGTACGACCAGAATGGACGAAGAGAGAAAGGTAAGCAGAGGACGGAGCAAAGCCAAGAGAAATATGAGTGGTTCGTAGTGTGTCGCACCACTCGTAGGGCGCTTGACGAAGACCGTAGACTGGCCGCCTAAGGCTCTACTTGGAGTACGGCGCAGCCAGATCTGCTCGTGGAGGCTGCCCTTAAGAAACGCAGTCGAGAAGTCTAATGAGTGAGTCTCTTACCTCACCCTGTGCTTCTACGTGCTGTAGTATCCGAAGATTCGTTTTCTTAAGGTGGGTGAGAAGGTCTAGAAAAGGTCAAATCCTTCTCGCTGACTGAAGCCTCCCGCCACGTAACGCGCCTCCAAGACAGCCGGCAATCCAGGCGATCGCTTTAGCTTTAAGATCCGCATGCAATCGACTATAATCGCCCCATGAGGGGGAACTACGTCGACGTAAGTGCCACTGGAACTCAAACATGCCATCTATGCTTGGCTGCTATCCATTGTGTGGCACAAGGTCCTGAAACCGCCTTAGTGTAGGTAAAAGGAGTTGGGATGTCAAACGCGTCTGGGTCACCCTCAGGGACTAGCAACATGGCACAATGTTGAGGTGAGAGATACAAGGGCTTTGCTAACCTTTACTTGTTTGGTTATGCTTTATTTGTCAGAAGTAGTAGGAGAAAGTTTAGAAGCAGAAAGAGGGTTTGGACTAGCAGCAGTTGAGATACAAATAGCAAACCCTAGATTGGGCTGTACTCGCTATAGAGTACCCCACTGCAGGCTAGACAAATACAACATTCTGACACACCCCCATAGCCAAAGTGGGGTGTAATCAGCACAACAAGCAGTCATAATAGTAGTTCACATTTTATGAGCAAAGCTAGAGGCAGTCACAGAGGGCAAGTGAGGAGGAGGAGGGCTGGCGAGAGGAGAGAAGAGTGGAGGCGACGACTGAAGCTGCAGACACACGGGCAACAGACGGCTCTGGTGCAGCTCTAGTGGCTACCGGGAGCAAGGGCCCCGGAATACAGGAGTAACAGGCTCTGCGTCTGATCAGCAGCGACAGGAGCAACGGACCCACGGGCGACAGGTGCAACCGGCTCTCTGAGCTACCGGTGGCTATCAGAAC